TCCAGGGCCTGGGGAAGCTCAGGAGGTGTGCAGGGGCTCCAGGGCCTAGGTCAGGCCAAAGGGCCAGGTACAGGCCTTATACGACCACCCCCTGGAATTTCAACAGATTTCCAGTTAAACTGTTTACTTTGTACCTGGGCACTTAAGACAAACACTATTTCCTGCTGTGAGGTTGGGCTTTACCTTCCACTTTGGGCTTTACTTCTGCCACACGCTCCGCAAACTTCTTTTTGAAGTACAATGACTGCAGTCTTTGCTGGTAATGATTAATCCTGTAAGAGCGAGTGGGTTGATAACTCAGGATGAGAGACCATTTCTCTAGAGCCTGCATGGGGTATTTGGGTAACTGCCTGGTGCCCTTCACTTCAAACTTTGCTCCCAATACCCACAGCTCTTGTGAAAACGGAAGAGATAAAAAGGCGTGAAAATGTGGACTCTTCACTTTCCCCCACTCCTCTCAAGCCTCTTAACTTTTCATAAAGTTTGGCCTTTGGCAAGACTACAAAGACTTGTGTCTGTCATACACTCCTCGGACCCACTCCCAGAACTTTCGGTCTTGCCATCAGCTCACTAAGTCAGTCTCCTGAAGGCAGACAACCATAGTGCCTACAGGGAGCAGCGAACCTCCTGGTCTCTGATCTACGCCTGAACTACAAGATTCCTGCTGCTGCTAGTGGGGGTCACAGTGCCTTCGCATGAAGCTTCTGAGACAAGTTTAACCTGCTCATGACAGAAGTTTCAGAGATCAGCCCCTTCTCTAAAACCATTCTGTTTCCCCCAGTAGACCTAGGTTTGCAGCCCAGACATGCCCCTTATTAGGTGCTCTTGAGAAAGGTCCACCTGAGTCTCCTTTTCTCTGTGGGTAGAAGAAGAGAAGACCTCTCTCCTGGAAGCCCCTAAGGCGGGGCTGCTAGGAAGGTTACATGCGAAAACACTTGGAAAGATCTGGACAAGCTTGAGAAGCAACAGCTATTTCTGGGGGTCACTAGCTTGTCCACACTGAGGGTGCAGGGAATAGTTTCAAAATTCCGGTTTAACAGCAGCCTCCAACATGGCACGTTATGAGGGATAACACAGAAGTAAATCTAGCCACAGCAGGAATGCAGAATGAGAGCCAGCTCTAGGCTGCTGGTACAGAGGGAAAGGGGTGTGCCCCAGAGGCTACTGGATTTCAGACCCCTGGCCCTTCGCTAGCATGGAATCAGTTCATCACTAGACCTGAAATGGCAAAGAGACGAAGTTCACACACCAAATCCAATTACAGAGCAGGGCCGCTCCTGAGGGTTCCTGGAGAAGTGTTCAGAATGCTTGCTGAGACCCATGGGAGAGCACTGTGACTGACAGTGATGTTTGCCTATGTCTTATTCATTGTGGGGACTCAATGTGGACATTGCCCGAGTCTGTCAACAAACCTGAGATGTCAAGGTATTAGGATGCTGAGCAATTATCCTAAGACATCAAAGTGTTAGTGAGAATGACCCAGGGAACTTCACAACACAATAAAGCCAGAGCACATGAGCCCACAAGGCCCCGAGGACAGCTGTGAAGACACTTGGACACTAGCTCACCCAGGGCAAGAACACATTCCACACAGCTCCAATTTGGAAAGATTTTAGAACTAAACCATGCTGTAACCGGCCAAGCTGTTCATCTTGAACTGAAGTTTAGAAGTAAGTTCCGTGCTCAGGCAAAGGGCATCTTTCCTTTCCAGGGTCTTCCGACTCACCTGCTCATCTCAAACAGGAAGCGGTCAGCCTTGGCCATCCTGTCCAGCTCATGTTTGTGCTCCTCTAGAAGGTCAATGTCACTTTTCTCAGGAACGAATTTCAAAAGCTAAAAGTGCAAGCATGTATTAAAGTAAAGGGTTAGAAAAGAAATCTTGGCAGTAGGTTTTTATCCTTTCAGCCAACTTGCTACAAGATGAAACTCTAACATTTTCTGAGGTTACAAGCCCTGCTAGCTGGTGGTCAAGGCATAAGGAATGGCTATTTACATGCTGATTTGATAGCAGCTTTAAATTGGCCAAAGAAGCATTTTCTATTCTCTAGTGCCTTCCAAATAAGAACTGTTGACATTTCCCTCCAGGACCTGCTTTGCTTGGATGCTTAGCAGGGCCCTACGGAGTTAACCCTCTCACTAGAAGGCCAGAAAACTGAGTCTCTGTGGAGAGAGGGAGTCAGCCCTCAGTCTGCATTACAGAGCAAGTACACATAATTATCAGGAACAGAACCCAGGTCTCTGACTCCCAGAGTCCTACACATTTTTTTTCTGTTATATCATGGTGGAATGAATAATTACATTTATATTTTTCATTTAATTTGATTATTTTTCTGTTCCTCTAATTCCACCTTCTTTATTGTTTCAGGTAGAGTTCAGTGAGAAAAACGGTGGGAATATTATATTTTTATTTCATATTTTATTTTGGAGGATGAGATTGAGAAATGGGTGAAAGAGCAACAATATGGAAAGCTGAGTTACTAGCCTGTGTGTCTGATTGCTGTTCAAAGCACACACATTTGCAGAGTTGTGTTTGTTGTGCAGATGTGCATGCAGGCTGGTTTCCAGATCAGATGCTTTCCCCCCAAATCAAAATGAGATGACTTGAGGGACTCATTTGATAGGCTTTCAGATGTGAGCTGGAACTCATGAAAGGCAGTTGGTCTCGGAGTCGCCCGCAGAAAAGGAGAATTGGCATTACAGAGAAGAAGGCGTTGCTGGGAGGCGATACTCGACTAAGAACATGTTCAGAGCTGAAGAAAACCTGTACTCAAGGGATGAGGACAAGGGGAGGAGGAGCCTGGAAAGGAGGCAACAGAGGTTCAGTTGGAGAAGCTATGTGGAATCACATGCCTAAGACAATGTTCACTATGGAGTAAGTGGCATTCATGCCGGACATCAGCAAGAAACCCATGAAGAGAAGAGCTGCCAAGTGTCCTCTGGCTTGGGCGGCAGAGAAGCTGCAATGTCCTTAGCAACCGCAGTTTAAGGGAGGTGAAGAAGATGAGCGACAGTGGACTGAGTGGACAGGAGGAGGGGATGGACTGGCTGTCCAGAACCTAGAGTGCCAGGAAGAGAGACAGCAGCACTGTGTGTGCTCACTAAAGATGGAGAGCTCAGAGCGGGGGCTAGCAGCCAATCCAGCGGGCTCCTGACTACGAGTGGATGTGTCAGGCACTAGGAAGGACAGCTCCCCCACCCTAAAGGGGCAGAGGGTGATAAATGAAAGCAGATGCCAGGTATGTTTCTAGGCATTTCTGTTCCCAGGCTAGAATGGTGACACCGAACAGGACATAGCTTCTTGTTCTTCCTCTGCACAGGGAAGGTTGTAGCACAAGGAGAAAAAAGGAAGATGAAGGGGTGTTTCTTTCTCCTTAGTTTGAAGTTTTGTCTTCTGAGCTAGGGACCTCACTTCTAGTTTAGACACCCTTCTCCCATCTGCCAGGCTCCCAGTTGGTCTATGATTAGGGAAACACCACCTCTCCGTGTCTTCTGTGACTTCCAAGAGCACATGTGGAAAGCCTCAGCCCTTTGCCAAGCAGAGGCAAGTGACACATTGCATGGGGGTGGTTTCCCAGGGGAATGGAGCTAGGGAAGCACCTGGAAATGGGAAATATGCATTCTGAGAAGAGGAGCTCACTGACCTCAGTCATGGCCTAAACACGGCAGTCACCAGCAGTACGCAGCATGGAATGCCTGCGGCCCTCATGCAGGCCCCATGCAAGGGCAGCATGAAACATGAAATGCATGTGGCCCTCATGCAAGCCCTACACAAAGGCAGCATGCAGCATGGAATGCCTGTGGAACCTCTTGCAGGCTCCATGCAAAGGTAAGGAGATGCTGAGATAGACATTGGTCTCGAAGAGAGGTACGTGGAAGAACACCAGGCAGAAGGACATTATAAAGAGGAGGGAAGGAAAGAGCGTGGGAGCGGAGCAGAGAGCAAGAAGCTCACAGAATTATCAGGAGAGACCAGGTCAAAAATGTCCTTGGCCAGATGCTGCATCAGTGGACAGACTGTCTCCCTTGTTTATTTGGAGTATGTCTTATTTGCACCGCAAGCCCTTTTGGCAGAGCTTTGCAATCCTTTCCCTCAAGGAGGAATTTTGCTGGATGCAGTTTCACAGTAAACAGATCCTGTAGAATTTTAAGCATATGGCCTTGTCATAGAGGCTAAGGCAGAAGGACCAAAGCAACTTTGCACACAGTTCTTCACTCCTAGAAGTGACTTGAAGGTGGGGTCCCCCGGAAGCTGGGGCAGCTGTGTAGTGAGAGGAGGAAGAACAGGGATTTGGAGACACTTCTGAACTGGGGGCAGGGGTACTTTAAACTGTGTATTAACACAAAATCATAGGAGACACGAGGAAAGAGTCATTAATTATTTTGAAAATTAAATAAAAAATTTAAAAGGCAGCCTGATACGTTGCTCTACTGCCAAGTGTGAGGGTCTCACTCGGGATAACTCCAGGGGCAGTTCTATCCTGTTCTGAGTCTGTTGTCTTCCATGATTTCAGTGGCAAAATGCACACAAAGATGGAGGTCAATCTATGAAGACTGGTCTCACCACTTCAGACACAAGACAGCCCTAGACTTTCAGAGCTGAGTACGTACACGGTCGCCATGGTCAGCCTGTAGTCATGGTTGCTGGTACCCACAAATGACCTTCAGTGAACCTGGCTCTGACAAACACAGACCTTAGACCTGATCACTCAAAATTCAATTGTGCCCCAAGGATGAGAGACAGAAAGGAAGAATATCCTTACAGCTATTGGTTGCCACAAAGCTCAGACACCTTCAAGTCCCAAGGGACTGGGGGACAGAGACATAAAAATTCTTGTAATATGATATAGTCAGACACACATGATATAGTCAGAGTGGCTAAGCAGAAATGCAGCAGAACAAATCACCCATTAAACTGGGTAAGATTTCTATCCAGGAACACTTGATGTGGGCTACCTATGTGTAACTGCCATGGGCTAGCCCTAGAGTTGTAATTTATTGCCATTTATGACACAAGATGACACATATGAAAGAGACATGACTTAGGTCTAGGAAACAGCTCAGTCCCCATAGGACAGGTGTGACAGTGTAGAACAGGTGTGACTGCATAGAACAGGTGTGACAG